GCAGGTTACAAAAGTACCCTACAAAAGCCTATAGCCTTTCCATATGCCAATAACAAGCAATCAGAGAAAGAGCACATGGAAACACTCCCCCTTCATAATAGCTGCAAAAAATTTATACATCTTGGAATAAACCTGACCAAAGACATTAAAGACCTCTACAATGAAAATTTTAAATCTTTAAAGGAAGAGATTGAGGAAGACATCAGAAGATGGAAGGACCTCCAATGCTCATGGATTGGTATTGTGGAAATGGCCATCCTATCAAAAGCTATTTATAGATTCAATGCAATGCCAATCAAAATCCCCATGACATTTTTCAAAGAATTGGAAAAAAAAATCCTTAGATTCGTATGGAAGGACAAAAGACCTCGGATAGCCAAAGCAACCCCAAGTACTAAGAGCAGTGCCAGGGGGATTACTATGCCAGATTTTAAGCTGTATTACAGAGCTATAGTCATAAAAACAAGGTACTGGCACAAAAGTAGACCCATAGATCAATGGAACAAAACTGAAGACCCAAATATGAGTACATACAATTTCAGCCACCTGATATTTGACAAAGGGGCCAAGAATATTCACTGGAGGAAAGAAAGCATGTTCAGCAAATGGTGCTGGCAAAACTGGATCTCTACCTGTAGAAGAATGAAACTAAACCCCATATCTTTTCCCTTGCACAAAAGTCAAGTCAAAATGGCTCAAAGACCTCAATGTAAAGCCTGAAACTGAAACTGTTAGAAGAAAACATTGGCAAAAACCTATAAGATATAGGTGTAGGAAAGGATTTTCTAAACTGGACATCAATTGCTCAGGAAACAAGGTCAAGAATTAACAAAAGGGACCTCATTAAACTAAAAAGCTTCTGTACACCAAAGGAGGCATCCAGGAAAGTGAACAGAAAACTCACAGAATGGGAGAAAATCTTCACCAGTGACACATCTGACAGAGGTTTAATATGCAGAATATATAACGAACTCAAAAAACAGAGAATCAAGACAAGAAGTAACCCAATTAAAAGATGGATGGGCTAAGGTGAACAGAGAGTTCTCA